TATCGGGAAGAAATAATAGATGGCTACTTTGATAAATGTTTAAAGTTTACATGGACTAATTGGTGAGTTTCAATTATATGTAATATGTGTGTATACATGCTATATACACTGTGTTCCACTGTACTTTTTTTTTTTTCACTTAAATGTTTTATCTTAGAGTTTGTTCCATGTCAGTACATATAAATCTGTCTCATTCGTTTTAAGAGCTGAGTTGTGTTCCATTATATGGATATACTATATATTCTATTCTCTATGGATGGGCATTTGGTTTGTTTGCAGTCTAAACAAAGGTATAGTTAACTGTTTTCTTACTACACTGCTGTGCACATGTATGATTACAGTCAGATCACTTTTAAATCGAAAAGGAAATTACTAAATCCTATTTTTGGGGGAGGGGACAGGTGAGCAGTTTGATGTTGCAAAAGCTCTATAAGTGATTAAGTTGGTTTTTAAGAATCTTTGAGTTATAAATTACCAATTTCTAAGTTACAGTCTGAAACATAAAACAGTATAGCGTTTAAAATATTTTGGTATTTCAAACTAGTTACTACTACAAGTCACAGGAAAATTACTGATTAGCTGTATTCTTTACTAAATGCTGTCACGGCTATTAAAACTGACAGTTTTGATTTAAACCTGTCATTTGTGGTATGAAGAAATGGAAGTGCAAACACTTTTGCATTGTTTTAGACCAAAGTCAACTTTGTATTGTTTGTTTTTCACCACAGTCTATAAAGACTCAATAAATCTAGCATGATGTGTAAATATACATATATTTTGGGTGTTTTTAGTAATAAATGAAATACATTATATAAGACTGGAGAAAACTGTTTTACTTAAAATTATAATTTTAATTATTTTGTAGTGTTATCTAGAATAATGTAGCTGTCAAATACTTACAGATTATATAGCCCTATTCGGTTTCTCCTGTGGGGTTTACATTTTTGACTGCCTCTTTGTACCCATGTTGTAATGGGTTTAGGGTCACAGGGAGGATGTAAAAGTCATGTACCTTATGATAGGTATTTTTGTCCTCAAGTGGCCTCATTATTGGTTTTTATATCTAGTTCTCAAAGTCTTTTATGTGAGTTAATCATATTTAACTTTGCAGATAATAAATTTATAAACAAGATTTAACTTTCTCTTAACTTTAAGCTCATAAGTAACTTGTGTTTCATTTTGCACAGTGCCTTGGTAATTAGCCAAGGATTTTATGCCTCCTAGTAGTTCTCATCAGATCAGGAACTGGAAGAATGAGGCCTACTTTTGACCAAACATAGGTCAAAAAGAATTGGTTTCAGCCGGTTGATGGGAAATTTTAGGGGGGGAGGCAGCAGTGGAATCTCTGCAATCAATGTGGAGCTTCAGAAATTTTTCAGGTAACAAAAGGTTGCACACAGATTCTATTCCAGTGATAAAAATCAAAAACTGTTTTAAATAAGAAATTTAATGGGAAAGACAATCTCTTAAAAAAAAAAATTGTATGTGTTTTATTATACATGCTTTTTTTCTTATTTAGCAATGCCATTTATAGAATGTAATACATTTGTTTTTAACAAAAGGTCCTTAATAAAGGATTTGATTTCTAAGAAAATAACAGGGCAGGAAAATGGAAGAAAAAATGGCCTTTTGTTTTTGTGTGTTCCTTTTTATACTATATTCAAGGCTGTAATATATTTAGAATTGAGTATTTTTGCTTAATAGTAAAATAATATAGGACTACTAGTGTTTTTTGGAAGATATATTGCAGTTATGTATTTTTTTTTTAACTTTAGTGAATAAAGTTAAATGCAAGCTTTAAGAGCTATACTTTTCTTTTTAAGAGCTATATTCTTAATACTGTTGTTAAATTAAACAGGACTTAATCTGATCAATATTCTTATGCCTCCTAAACCTCTTTATTCTTTCTGATATATATTTTTTTTAACATTTAAAAAAATGTTTATTTTTGAGAGTGTGTGCATGTGGGAGAGGAGCAGAGAAAAAGGGAGACAGGGTCTGAAGCGGGCTCTGTGCTGACAGTTTGATGCAGGGCTCAAACTCACGAATCGTGAGATCATGGCTGAGCCACCCAGGAACCCTTGATGTTTCTATTATTGTAGAGCTTTTGTTTTCTTTTATAAGTTCTTTTAGCATTCTCTGCTATTTTTTATAACTAACTTTAAAATATCTTATTATAATTATATAATATTGCTATAATTGTAAGGCACTACAGTGAAATTTGAAGTTTCCAGTAGTTAGCATTCTGAAATAGCTTGGTTTCTCTAATATCTGTATTAGAGAAGGAACCAGAAAAATATACTAAAGCCTTCCTGGCAGTGAATAAATAGTAGCTCCTAAGCACCCAACACAAATGAGAGAGCCAGAAGAGCCAAAGACCTGAAGTCAGTCCGGACCCAGTGTACTTTATTGGTTTGTCACAATGAAGGAGTACTCAGATTGGCTGGTGATGTCACACAGGCCCTGCTTTTTTATTTTTTGAAAGAGAGAGAGAGGGTAGGGGGAGAGGGAGACAATCTTAAACAGGTTCCTTGCTTGCTTAGTGTGGAGCCTGACGCTGGGCATGATCTCACAACCATGAGATCTTGACCTGAGCCGAAATCAAGAGTTTGACACTTAACCGACTGAACCACCCAGGTGCCTCTCATAGGTCATTCTTTTTATGTGAAAGCTGAAAGTGTGATGGACAAGGTAACAAAGGACAAAAGTGTCAGGGAGAAAAGGGACCACAGCAACTTTGATTATTGGTGCAGGCATGGTGGTTATTAGAAATAGTAATTAGATACTTATGTAGTCCATATTCCAAATAGGGCATAGAGAGCCAGTGATAAAATGGCCACCTCTTTTCTGGATAGGCAATAATTCATCTGATACCATTGAAGGCTTAGAGTATCTCTAAGGGGTGGAAGTAAAATGGCATTGCCCATAGCAAGGGATTAGGGAAAGAACTAGCCACTATACTGGAGCTTGGGGAATCCAGCGTAGATCGGTGGACATGGTGGTGGAATGTGGGAGATGGGGACAAATGGGTATTTCTCCGTGAGAACCACACTGAAGATATAGCAATATATGTCAGTATTTTGGAAGGCATTAAAAGTAAAAGTACAAAAGCAGTGTCCTGTATTTCATAGTCTGTAAGATTTATATCTTTGCTATTTTGTGCTTACTAGTGAGAAGTAGGACATTAAAGAAAATGTTATGTTTTCTAATACATCATCTTGTTAAGATGGCTCTTTGAATTGTACTCCTGTGATTCCTTTTATTTTACTGTTTCTCTTTAATTTTGTTATTCAACTCTATAATTGAGGGAAAACATTCTGTGAAAAAAATAGGGTATAAGGTATTGAGAAAGTATATAGGACATCTTAGATTTGCATTAAAAAGTAATTTAAAGAAGAATGTCACATTAAAAAAAAGGGTGGGGGGCATCTGGGTGGCTCAGTTGGTGAAGTATCCAGCTTCTGCTCAGGTCATGATCTCATGGTTCATGGGTTCAAGCCCCACATTGGGCTGTCCTGACAGTTCAGAGCCTGGATCCTGCTTTGGATTCTGTGTCTCCCTCTCTCTCAAAAATAAACATTAAAAAAAAAAAACAAAAAAAACTGTCAAATGTTTGAAGAGCCAATCTTCAGATACCTGGAGAACTCCACTATGTAGAATTTCTCAGTAGTGATCTTTTTGGTATTCTTTCTTTCTTCTGGATAGAGTTTGTAGTCTCCCATCAGGCTGTGTGCATTACTTTTCAGCAGATAGATTTACCATTGTGGTGTGGAGCATGTTGAATTTGGCAGCAGAGGAAGACCTGTAACTAAGAAGGGTGTCTTGTTTTTATGACCTAGGCCACATTTCCTGTCATACTTAAGCATTTTCTTGCATAGGCACAGGTGATCAGTTCGACACTGGACTTTTTGCCCCCCCTTCAGAACATGGGGAATTATTTTTGCAGTCTTTAAATATGAGAAAATTCAGTTACCATTGATTTTGTTGACCAAACATGTAAAAGGCTCATTGTGACTGTCATTAATTTTGAGTTAAAACAGATCTCCCTGCAGAAATATGGTCTTGCCCCCTTAGGATATTATGAATTGCAGTTAGGACCCTTTTGATAAAGCCCTTTTTTTGGTGTTGGTTCTTACTGTAAAACATTGTTTTATTTTTATTTTCAGGAAATTTTCAACAGGGGAAATATGAACCATATTAGCTAGCTCCTCCTGAGGAAAAAATAAGAATAGTTAAGAGCTTGCATATACATCAAGTAGCAAACTTATATACACTACAAATAGTTTTGTTGATATTAGTAAATTATTATTTCCTGAAAGATTATAGATATGTACTTCAGTTTTATGAGAATATGCTTAAATGTATTATCTATACTTCATAAGCACTTAACGGATTTACAGAGAATATTGACTTGAAATTGCTCAATCCCTATCCCAAGTAACTTCCATAACTACCAAAGACTCTTTGTAATTAAAAACAAAACAAAAACCTTTAAAAATAGATACACAACCTAATTAATTAAAATAATGAGGGTGAATTTGATGTAATGGCAGTTAAGGTGGGAGGGATTACATTAAAATTTTATAGGTAGTATTAGCAATTCCGTTTTCCTGTTTGTCATTATTTATAAATATACTTAAAAATTGCTGGAGCTTTGACCAGAGGTTGATGATGGTAAACCTAATTGTCTTATTTTCCCAAATAGAACTTGTAATTGTTTTTCTTTTATGCAGTTATGTTTCTTTTAATCTAAAATTAGTTGACAATTATAAAAACAAGTTTGCTAAGTTACATCAGTGTACCTAACACAATACGGCTATTCTGTGTGAAGGATTCTTATCAAAAGGATGCTCTTGGGGTGTCTGGGTGGCTCAGTTGATAGAGCATGCAACTCTTGATCTTGGGGTTGTGAGTTGGGTGTAGAGACTACTTAAAATCTTAAAAAAAAAAAGCTCTTTAATTTTCTTTCTCACCCCTTTCTCACCCTTTTGTTTTCAAAGAGAAACTGGTAGTCTGGGTAGATTCAAGGCGTCTTTACGAGAAAATGTCTTGGGGAGCCCCAAGGAACTGATGAAGTTAAGTGTGCCATCATTAGTGTATGCTGTTCAGAACAATATGGCTTTCCTAGCTCTTAGCAATCTGGATGCAGCAGTATACCAGGTAAGTGGAGGTAGATGACAATGAAAAGTGAAAAGTAAAATCTCAAGTTAAAAAACAAAAAAGTTTTTATGGTGAAAAGACTTATTAGCCCTTTATCACATTTTTTTTTCTCCATAATTCTATTAATATCAAATATTTGTGTCAGACAATAATGTTATGAGTTCATTAATTTATTGTTTTGTTTGTAGGTGACCTATCAGTTGAAGATTCCCTGCACTGCTTTATGTACTGTTTTAATGTTAAACAGGACACTCAGCAAATTACAGTGGATTTCAGTTTTTATGCTATGTGGTGGAGTCATACTTGTACAGTGGAAACCAGCTCAAGCTACAAAAGTTGTGGTAAGAAACAAAACGCTCACCAGAACTAAAAGAGAACACTTCCTTAATCTTATAACACTTTAGACCATCACATTGATGAATGTAGTACATTTCTTTGAAAATAATCTTTGCCCTACAGATAGGCTTTTTTTACTCCCTTATCATAATGTTATTATTAATAATAATATAACTTAATTGTCCCCCTTCGTCTATTTTTCTGGAGGAGAATATGCATAAAATATGTTAGACATGGAAGGTACCTTAATGTAATCAATCCCCTTCATTTTATGGATGACAAAATTGAAGTCTTTTTTTAGACAAATCCCAGAACATTAAAAAAAAAAGTTTATTCATCTATTGTGAGAGAGAGAGAGAGCTCATGTGTGCGCGAGTCGGGGAAGGGCAGAGAGAATCCCAAGCAGGCCCCACGCTCAGCGTGGAGCCCCATATGGGGCTCGATCCCATGATCACAATCTGAGCCAAAATTAAGTCAGTTGTTTAACTGACTGAGCCATTCAGACTCCACAAAATTGAAGTCTCAAGAAGTGACTTGTTTAAAGTTACAGTTAATAGCTAACCTGTTACTAAAATTGTGCCAATTTCATACAGTTTGTATGTTCAGAACTTACAGGCCTCTTTTAGGCATTTTTCTCAAGAACACCAACACCAAGGGAAGTTTTCTTCATCTAATTTTCATCCTTTCTCTGAACTCAGAAAGTTTTTCTTGTAATCTTTTTGCACACATTCCCACTGTCAGTGATAGGGATTACAGGGGGAGTAGTGTTTTTACTGATATAACTAAAACAGGGCCAAAAGTGCCTTTCTAATGTTCAATTCAAGACTTAAATGGTACCTACCTGATTTTCAAAAATATGTTGTATACTTTATAGGTTATTTTCCCAAAGAGAATTAGGAAGTGGGACTCTAGTGAATGACCTTCAGGAGGTTTCCTTTACAATTGAATACTTTCTTCACCTTTTAGCAAATAAAAGACTATGGTTCTCCTAGAGGTATGAGGCAGCTGGAGATGTATAGAGGGCGTGTGCAAGTAGGAAGTCAGTTATTTTTTACGTAGTTTCTAGCCTAAAACTACATGGAGGATCCCCCCCCACCCCTGGAAAATGAGGTTACAATGAATGTTTATGGTTTTACATGATATTTAAACATGCTTATATTCTGGTGGCATTTCAAAACACTGATCAAATATACACTGCACATTTAATTTAGTTGTAGAACTTGCAGAGAAAGAAATTTATTGGGAAATAAGGCAAACAAAAGTTAAATATGAACTTTAACACTTCACACCATTAGGAAAGATGTTAGGTCCACCGCACATAGGTAATGTATGTGAAAAGCTTAGTAAGCTAAAGCAGATTATTGGGCAGTTTTCCTACTTTTGGACCACTACAAAAAGTTCTTTCATATTTTAAGCAAAGTGCAGCTTCTTGTAACTGCCTCTGTTTTTTGTTCTTGTCAGAATAACTCAGTTCCCTACCAACTCTATAGGATAATCCTTTGGATATTTGAGGAGTGTCACATCACCACCCTCCAGGTCTTTTTTTTCCTCCCCATTGAGACAACCTTGTTGTTTCTTTCTGTATTTTCTAGAGATTTCTTGATTCCCTTCCTCTTGCCCCAATACTTCCTTGTATTTCTCTTCTAGATGCATTCATTATTCCTCAGTAGTCTTAAAACTTCACACTGTCTCTAGCCTTTGACTGAGCAGATGAAGTGTAACTTGTGAATTACCTCTTTTGTTCTGAATACTAGAGATTTGTTAAATTAGCCTAGAAGTTTCTGGGGGGAGGTGGAGGGAAGATAGCCATTCAATAACTGATTATACACAGAGTTTCACACAACATAGTTTATTTCAAATGTGTCATGTGCAGTGGGCTGCTGCTTCTAACCAAAATGCAGGATGTATTTATTTTAGTATCTTGTTAGCTTTGGTTCATCATTCAGGCATTTGAGGTCCTTCCAGATCTTATTATCCATTATTAGGTTTTTGAGTGTTAGTGTTCTACAGATTCGACAAATATGTCTTTGGGTCTTCCCTGAAAATTTAGACAGGAGAGGACCAGAGTTCTGTGGCTGTGCTTTTAGATCTCTCTTTAGCTGTACTTTTCCCCCTTTTGCTCAATAATCCTTCTCTTCTCTCATAGTTTTTATAGGTCTGCCAGGAATTTGAGAGTGCCTTAGCTAGGTAGTTCTGGCTTGAGGTCTCTTGAAAGTTGCAATCAAGATACTGGCTATGGCAGCAGTCAACTGAAGGCCTGACTGGGCCTAGGGGATGTTTCTAAAGTGGCTCATTCATATGCCTAGCAAACTGGTATTGGTTGTTGGTGTAGCTTGATTTTATTCCATTAGCACTTTGCTGTATGAGAATTCACTCAGCTATGGATAGAATTGTACTACTATTCTCAATACATTTCTGTCTTGTTCACAAAAATATTATGTAGATTTGTCTTTTTTTTTTTTTTTTTCAAAATATACTGTCTCTATAGAATTCTCCTCATCATACTAACTAGGAATCCCTTCATAAGGAAATTTGGTATGTCTCATTCTTAGGGAAGCCATATTATTTTCTAGTGATGACCATTAAACTTTTTATGTCATCTGTTCACGCGTTTTGCTAGTAAGTCATTAATAACAATAACAGTTGCAATCACTTAGACCAAGCTTTCTCTCTCAGACATTTAACATAAAGCAATACTCACCTATATCAGGCTGTTTATTTTGAATAAGGTATGTGCTTGTCATAGTATAGTCATGTGTCTCTACTCTTTAGTTTCAGTGTTACTACTGAGATAGTATTTATCTCTGAGGAAAGGCTGATGAAAGTTCCTTAAGGGTTAGTTTAGGGAAGAAAGAGAAAATAAAGTTGGAATAGGTTAGGGCACATATACATGCATCTTTTAGCACAGAATTATTATATACATCTGTCAATCTCTCTCATCCATGAACTGTTTAAGAACCACAGCTGTGTATCATCTTTTATTTTTATTCATTTAGTACATAAGACAATATATCTGGTACATAGAAGGATACTATTAATATTTGATAGAAATTTAGTAAAGTAGGAAATCTTAAAGTCGTTACTTCATTTTGCAGGTGATAGGAAATACAAGAGTTAAACTGTTACCATTTCTGTGATTGAGGCTATTAGGGCTTGAGTTAAGGTGGTGGCAGAAGTTAAAATTAAGAGGCAGGTTGGGGCGCCTGGGTGGCGCAGTCGGTTAAGCGTCCGACTTCAGCCAGGTCACGATCTCGCGGTCCGCGAGTTCGAGCCCCGCGTCGGGCTCTGGGCTGATGGCTCAGAGCCTGGAGCCTGTTTCCGATTCTGTGTCTCCCTCTCTCTCTGCCCCTCCCCCGTTCATGCTCTGTCTCTCTCTGTCCCAAAAATAAATAAACGTTGAAAAAAAAAAAATTAAAAAAAAATAAAATTAAGAGGCAGGCTGACAGTGCAAAATTCTGTGCTAGGATGACTGCCTGCCTGTTATTAGGAATAGGCACACATGTTCGGTAAGCATGGCTGCAATTTGAGGGACAGCTTTTTAATTTAAGTGCTTTGGTTAATCTCTGGGATGGCCTTTTGTTTGTTTCTATCTTAGTCTGTAGACTAGCTGTGTCTGATGTGGCACATACTTTCAATAGAACCATAACAAATTTTTGTAGTCATTTGATCTCTTGGATGAATTCTATTTATGAGTCACTAATAACTTTTGAAACATTATTGCAGGTGGAACAGAACCCATTGTTAGGGTTTGGCGCTATAGCTATTGCTGTATTGTGCTCAGGATTTGCAGGTAAATCATAAATGCATTGCTTTATTCTGTTAAATTTTCTAAAAAAACATTAATAGGGATCTAGTTTATATTATTTTATTGTAACCATTTTATTCCCAATAAGGCTTATCTTCCTACTGATAGTTTTGTGTCAGCTGTTTTTTCAGCAAATGTGTGGTAGTGTTTAATTCGGTTCAGACCTAAGACATTACTCATACTTGCAGTAATCTAAGAACATATTTAGGTCATGTTGACCATCTTCAGTCCAGATAAGAACCCAAAAGTGAACAAAGACTTCTAACAATGGACAAGTTAGCAGTTAGAAAGCTCCTGTACCTCTTTCCATTTCCTGGAAGTGGCACTATCTTCAGGCAATATCCTCTTGCTGTGGGATATGAAGTTGCCAGCTCAGTATCTGTTTTTTCCTGTTACCCTCAAGTTCTTCCTCTAATAGATTAGGAATTATGGAGTAGGGAGAAAAGGGGGTGGGGTGGAGAGTACCTCACCGAAAAGTTAATACATAAAAGTAACAGCCAAAAAGGGAGGGATGAGAACCGAAATCATTAACATAAAATAAGCATGGAAGTCTAGAGTCATATGTGTAGGAACAATCCTCCACTTAAGAAGAGACAAGGTGTGAATGTTAAGTGCAACATATGTTTTAGAAATAGTTCCAATAGAGAAGAACCTGAATTTTTTTTTAGTAAAGAGTATATTAGTCATAGCTATGTTTTTATTATTTATCTTTATTTGTGCTATTTCAAGAGTTAGGATTCTTTTTATTTTTGACTAGGAAAGTAGGCTGGATATGGAAGTGAAATATTGCTTGTGAAAAAGATCTTTGATAAAAGGGGAAGATCTAAATTGAGACATATATTTAATGATAGCATCATGCTAAATTTTTATCCTTAGGAACTAGCAAATTAGAAATAAAAATTGAGTTACCCAAGAAATATGCTATTAGACTTTTAAAAATTGGAATAGGAATAACCATTACATGTTTCTCTCCGTTCTCTGGCTCTAGCACACATTCACCAAAAACAGCCTTTTTTTCCATTATAATTTTTAGTTGATTAGTATTTGAGTGGCAGTTTCTAAGTCTGTAATTGTTTATAATGAAAATCTTTAATATCCTTGAATGTCTCCATGTGTTCACTTTAAGTATAAAACTTAGTGGTATGTGATTTTGCATGTGTATGATGAGGAGTCATTTGCTTTTCTGGAGTATCTGGAAAAACTATGGACCCTCAACCCCAAGAAAATGCACATACATACAAAATGTATTATCTAGTGAGTGAGTTCATGGTTTTTCTGACATTGTTTAAGAACTTGGTTTGTGGAACCCTGCTTTAAAGGAATATGGCTTCACTCAGCAATTTCTATTTAAATTTTATTTTGGTTGTGTTACTCTGAAAAAAATCCCAAGCGGTTATTATATAGGTTATTTTGTAAAGCTGGGAGTTTTCATTACTAGGCAGATATTAGAGGGATAGGATTAAGATAATTGACTCTAGTAGTATAGTTTTCCTGCTGACCAAAAGAAGTCTATTATTGGCATTAACAGAAAGCTTCTGTGATCTTACTGCTACAGTAATGGGAGAAACTGTTCTTAATAATTTATGAGTTTCCTGTTGTATGTGGGTTAGAAAATTCCCTCTTAGTTACTAATTTTATATGCTCTATAAAAATACATGTTGCTAATGTCAAAATGCCATGTGTCACAACCAGCATAATAAATGTGCACTTGATGTAAAATGTGTTTGTTCCCTGAATCATATACTTTTACATTGTCATAGGTCTAGGTTATTGTCTAAATGAAGGGAATTTTAAATTAATTTTTAATATCTTTCATATTTGCATATCTAATTTTTTTCCAGGAGTGTACTTTGAAAAAGTTTTAAAGAGTTCAGACACTTCCCTCTGGGTGAGAAACATTCAAATGTATCTATCAGGGATTGTTGTGACATTAGTTGGCGTCTACTTGTCAGATGGAGCTGAAATTAAAGAAAAAGGATTTTTCTATGGTTACACATATTATGTCTGGTTTGTCATCTGTAAGTATCCAGGAATTAACAAGTTCTGGGTAGATCCTTTAAAAAAAAAAAAAAAAGTCTGTTTTAAGCCTTTGATAACATTTTGAAATTGTTCCTCTGCTACTGTGAACACGTTTGAAAATGTAATTTTGGTTTTATTGACTTTGTGGTGTAACTCTCCCAAAGCAATTTTGCCTTCACGATCAGTAGTATCTAATGTGTTAGCAATAAATGTGTACAATTTAGTAGTAGAGCACATAGCCCTCTGGGCATGTGAAAAACAATGTTGTTTTATAGGAACTATTACTTGATTTTAGTACAAACTCTCTCAGATGGCTGCTTCTAAGGAAAATCGTATTTTCCTAGGTAAATTAGTATGGCATCTCTGGGGGTGAAAACTGCTTCACCATCATAGAATGTTTCATTTTTTGAGTGTTAAGATTTTCTTTCTTTCTGTATACAAGTTCTTGCAAGTGTTGGAGGCCTCTACACTTCTGTTGTGGTCAAGTACACAGACAACATCATGAAGGGCTTTTCTGCAGCAGCAGCCATTGTCCTTTCTACCATTGCTTCAGTGATGCTATTTGGGTTGCAGATAAGTATGTCTTAGTTTGTATTTTTAAGTTTTTAAAAGAGCTTCTCACTTCCTTGACTCATTAAATATGGCAGTTGGTCATAAATTCCTTGTTTTGTTACTAGTTTATTCTACAAATGCAGAAGTTCATTATCTTATGGGATGTGGGTCAGCAGTACTGAGGTTGTTTCCATGGTCCTAGAGCTTAGCTGAGGGGTATTGGTTCTACTGAAAGTGACAGGGCTACTGAGTTACTACAAAGAGCCTTTCTGTAGTCAGGACCTCCCTGTTTCCCAGGTTTTAGATACCAGGTTCAAGACAACCTGAATACTTCTTGGTGAATATAGTATGATTAGGTTTGCAAGGAAATACAAGGGCTTTAGGGAATGATTATTTTCAGCAGTGCAGTTACAGTAAACAAGGCTTTTTATGAGGGGGAAAGAACAGAAAATTCTTTCATGTCCCCCTTAGTTTGTACCTTCCTAACTTTTGGACGTAGGTATAAAGGTATTTTTGTTTCTTATAATATGTAATTAGTACAAAATTCATTATGATAGCTGGCATTCTGGCACCATCACTGTACTAGTCCTTCTAATATAGACTTCCCTAGCCTACACCCAGCATTAAGTTGGATCCTGACTTATTTAACATTTCAGGGTGCTGTAATAATCATTTTCCTTACTGATCAATTATACCACAATCTGTGAAATATCGGCAATAAGTAAAAGAAACAGACTTGGCCTGTATTTATGTTTGATTTTAAAATTGACTGTTATAAATGCAAATAGAGGAACATCAAGCTTGTAGAAATCTTTAAAAAAAATTTATTAGTTGTGCAACTTTGGGGAAGTTACTTAACCTGTGTCTCAGTTTCTTCATCTGTAAAGTGGGACGGATAGTCTCCTAGGGTTGTTTTAGGTAAAGTGATTAGAATAGTGCCTGGCACCCAGTAAGTATTCTGTAGAAGGCCAACCACTTACCATTTCAGTATCACTACTTATAGGCCCTCCTTTAGATACATTTCTTACCTGATTTTGGTGAACTTTTAATTGTACTTCTGATCCTTATGCTCAACAAATCCTTATGCCTTTTCTCCTAAGGAATACTTGGGGGCAGTAAAAAAAAAAAAAAAAAAATGCTTTTCAATTAGAACATCTTACCAATCTTCCAGTTTTCTATTTAGATTTAACTTACCTCCCCTTTTTTTTTTTGACGGGAAAGCTAGTCTTCTCTTGTTAGGAGTGAACTAATAAAATCATAGCTTGATGTCATTTCTCTGCAAGCCATTTTTAAAACTAATAAGATTGTGCTGTTGTACTCCATACAGAATTTGGTTCAGTTTGGAACAATATACAGTTTTGACATAGATTTTGACATAAACATTTATGTATGAAATGCTTACTTGTCAAGTTTGGGCAAGTTGTAATTTATGTCCTGATTTTCGGGATTAAGACCAAAACAAAGAAAAAAGACAAGGCTAGCAGAAAATGAAATTGTACTATCATCATTTCATCTCCTTTTCAGAAATCTTCAATCATTTTGAGTCATTGGTTACTTGAAATTTTGTGCTCAACTACCTTTTACTCTAAATTTTTACAGGTTTCTAGTACCATGGAAAAGCCACATTCCACTGCTCTTTTTTAAATTACAGCATATGGTGCGGGGTGGTGGTGCCTGGGTGGCTCAGTTGGTTGAGTGTCGAGTCTTGATTTGGACTCCGGTCATGATCCCAGGGTTATGGGATTGAGCCCCATGTTGGGCTCAGCATGGAACCTCCTTAAGCTTCTCTTAAAAAAAAAATAATAATAATCCTTTAAAAATTTAGCATATAGGGAAGTTAGTATGTTCTTTGTCAGTGGTCTGGGACAGGCATACTCGTATTCTCACAAAGCATACAGTCTCTTTGTACCTTTTTTGGGGGTGGAGAGCCAGAATTGATTCTCTCTGTAAACCTTACCATCTATAAAAATAGAACACTGATAGATGTATTTTCCATATGATCTAATGGTATAAACCTGTAATTGAAAGATTTCAAAATTTAAAATGGGGGCGCCTGGGTGGCGCAGTCGGTTAAGCGTCCGACTTCAGCCAGGTCACGATCTCGCGGTCCGTGAGTTCGAGCCCCGCGTCGGGCTCTGGGCTGATGGCTCGGAGCCTGTTTCCGATTCTGTGTCTCCCTCTCTCTCTGCCCCTCCCCCGTTCATGCTCTGTCTCTGTCTGTCCCATAAATAAATAAAAACGTTGAAAAAAAATTAAAAAAAAAAAAATTTAAAATGGATTGTTATATAGTTTTAAGGACACAGATACAGATTAATTTTTTTTTCTTTTCAGCACCCACCTTTGCTCTGGGTACTCTTCTTGTATGTGTTTCTATATATCTCTATGGATTACCCAGACAAGACACTACATCCATCCAACAGGGAGAAACAACTTCAAAAGAGAGAGTTAGTGGTGTGTGATTTCAGCCTCAAAAGACTCTTACCAAGACAAAAACTGTTTGCATTAAACTAGAGCCTTAAGTCAATCCGAGAAGGTAGCTTAAACAAAAACATGTTAACTGTGTCATAAGAATTAAGAAGAAAGCTATCTGAATGAACTGCTACAAAGATTTAATGTGACCTGTTTTGGGTCAACCTGTTTTGTTTCAGAATGAAAGACTTTTATTGTATATATAATGTATATAAAAAAGTATGGAGAGGGTATGATATTACAAAAAAATCATGTGAGGATACAATATTCAAGTAACAAGGTTTGGAACAAGGTTAAGGGTTAAAGTGCCAAAGCCATTTCTGTACGAACTGTTTTCTTGTTCAGGAACCAGGGGAGAAGGATGACCCCTCCTTGTTCTCCAATTCATGTACAGTATTTCATCCCAGCAGCAGTAAGACCCAGCTAGCTCTTTTCTTACAAAAGAGAGGCATAAGCAAGCCAGGCTAGTTCAGAAACAAACTGTTTAACTTCTCAAACTGAATCTATTTCATAATGCAGGCAATGACTTCTGGGTGGTGACAGAGTACTCCTGTTAAGTGCTGTATTTGTGCCATTCATTGTCTGGATTCGTATTTCTTTGCTGTTAGATGATCTACTTTTCTTCAAAAAATATTTCTAATGTCACTTTTGTACTTTTTTTTATAAAGTATGTTTAAAACTATTGGGCTGTCAATAATTTGTGAAATTTTAGTGTTTTTAAAAATTTTTCTATAATGTTAATGGGGAAATTCAGCAATAAACTTAATTTATTTATATGCAATCTGTGATCACTTTTTGTATCATGATTATGACTATTAAAATAATGCAAAATGTAAAAAAAAAACACCAAAAACATTAAATTTTTCATTTTTTCTATGTTGGAACTGTATCAGGGTTCTCTGATGACATATAAACCAACTCTTGGCAAACCTGAAGCTATACTTTATAAGAAAGACTACAATCAGAACTAGGGCTCTAAGCTATAGGAGATCATAAACAACAGTCTTCAGGGAGCTGCTTTTGGAAAGACTGGCCTCTAACCATCACTGTCCCTGTGTCATTTCACTCAAAGTTCAAATACTGAGGTGGCTACCACAGATCTGGGAAGGGGGAACGTTTCTCCAAACAAGTGGAGAAGGACATAGGACATGAAAAACATGTTCCAGTTACACATTTTTATTCCATGGCTAGTTTGTGCTAAGGAAATATTAATGATTAAGTAAAAATTAGTAATTGGGGGACCTGGGTGGCTCAGTCAGTTGAGCATCTGACTTCGGCTCAGGTTATGATCTCATTGTTCATGACTTTGAACCCCACATCAGGCTCACTGCTGTTAGCCTGTCAGCGCAGAGCCCACTTCAGATCCTCTGCCCCCCTCTTTCTGCCCCTCCCCCACTTGTGCTTTCTCAAAAATACAGGTTAAAAAAAATAGTAATGTGAAAGCTACCTTTATTTAAAATTGAGACTGCATGGATAAGTCTTTTCTAGGACTAAGAAAGTGTACCATACTTGCCAATATAAAACTGTGTTCATTCAATTAGAGAAGTTTTGGTTCATGCTAAATTGCTTCTCTATTGTAAAAGTAGATGATTGTCATTCGCATTCAGGAGATTTTTAGTAGCAACATTTAGGATAAATTATAGTAGACCTGAATGGAAATACTGGCAGATGAGGATAGCTGTACTAATCAAACAGAGCACATCCCACGTTACCTAAACAAATCATGCAAAATATCCTTGGTTGATATGCAGGTACATGAAAGAAATGGTGTAAGAAACTCCATTTCAGGGGCACTTGGGTGGCTCAGTCGGTTAATTAAGCATCCGACTTCAGCTCAGGTCATGATCTCACGGTCCGTGGGTTTGAGCCCCAGGTCTGGCTCTGTGCTGGCAGTTCAGAACCTGGAGCCTGCTTAGGATTCTGTCTCCCTCTCTCTCTGCCCCTCTCCCACTCACACTTCGTCTCTCTCTCTCTCTCAAAAATAAACATTAAAAAAAAAAAGTTGAAGAAACTCCATTTCAAATTATGGTTTAACTAATGGACTAATTTTTACAAAAAGATCCTGGTACCATACCTGTAAGTAATTCCTTGTTATTTAAATCTGTTCAGTTCCCAAGTTCACATAATAAGAGTTACCTACCCATACAGATTAACGAAAGATAAGCACAAGATCTGTTCTCTGGGAGTGGTTCTCATCTGTATTAGCAAAAAAGCTTAATTTTGGTGTCCCTAAGTTGATTCAGAACTAGCCATTATTATAAGAAAATTGAAATGTTTTCATCAGTTTTATCTGATGTGAACATTAGGTAATCTCAGTTATGAGAACAGTTTCTGGAAGAATGACACTGTAAAAAACCTCAAGCTGGAGTTTAATCCTTTATCCCCATTAGACCGCAGTGAATTTTAGAAGATTTGAGTTAGTTTTACAAAACTCTGTTTAGTACTTATGGACCATGAAGGAACTCAGATGATTTTTTAAGATAAAGATTTAATAAGTTGATGAATCACTTAGGCTTAATATAGATTCTGATACAGAATAGTTTAAATTCTAAACAAAGCATATAAGAATAGAGAACTAGAATTCATTAATTAAAAAGCTGCTATTTTAATTAGAAATTACATCCTACATACAGGTGTTATTCCAAGAAGTTTCATTCCATTGGCTAGCACAGAACGCACAGCTCTGAAAAGATGAAGTCTGGCCTAGAAAATAAAACAAAGGATGATTAATGTTCAACAACAGGCTAACAATACATGAGTAAAGAAGAGTATCTTTAAGAGTAATTTTAATTTTCTTCTAATTTAAAGTAGGAACAGTATCTCAGGGTGCCCTAAGATTTGCTGTCAGTAAGGAAAAACAAATTTAGCATCCTGTAACTTATAGTATGACTGGTACCCCAAGAGTTGGGGAGTGGGAGTGACACTATCATTATACAGCCCAGCTTCAGATATGGGGAACTCCTCACTCTTAGGAAAATGTGTTTCAAAGTCCAGTGTGTTGGAAAATCTGAAAACACTGATTGTTATAGCCCAATTCTAAGTACCACCTGAGTCTATAAGTATACTACTGCAGTTAAACGAGATGCTATTTTAGAAACATTTACAAGAAAGACTCAGTAATAGTAACCTGAGGATGCTAAAGATAACACAGAAAACACTTAACGTACCCCAGCCACTTCAGGAGGACTGTCTTTTATATGCAGTGTCTTGTGTGCCATACCTGCAAGATGACTGAAACGGGAAGAGAGAAATGAAGACCAGAAGTCATTTCCTGTTGTAACATGCAAGCTTGGTATTTTATTGCCTCAACTTAAAGAAATCAAAGCCTAGCTCCATTAAAAGATGTATCCAACATTGGAAAGCTGAGACTTGAATCACTGCATTTCTGTAATAAGAAAAGTAAAACACATTAAACTAAAGCTTTAGATTTTGGTCCTAATACCTTAAGTTCTTAAGGTGGTGATTTCAGTGTTTTATAAAGATAGGGGATTCCTTTCTAATAGTTTTTTCTCATTTAGGCATCTTTAGGATGAAAGGTATAATGTGGCCTGGACTTCCCCCTCTGTATGGTGAGGAGGTGGGGTAGAGACTAGCTATCAAATACAAACACTGCACAAACATGGGCCACTCTTTAAAGCATCTTTTCTGTTCAGGTATAGCAGCAAATACAACAATGTGCCAGAGAAATGATGCTTATGACATTGTTTCGATGAACTGACTTAAAAAAAAATACATATTTATTTATTTTGGGGAGAGTGCAAGCAGGGGAGGGGCAGAGAGAGGGCGACAGAGGATCCAAAGTGGGCTCTATGCTGACAGCCTAACAGCAGAGAGCCCAACGTGGGTCTCAAACTCATGAACTGAACCACGAGATCAAGACCTGAGCTGAAGGTGGACGATCAATTGACTGAGCCACCCGGGTGCCCCTTAACTGACATTCAATAAGACTTTCTGGCTTATTTCTCTATGACTATGTAGAATTTAAAGGGGAAAAAATTTTTATTTAAATCTGGGGAAGGCAGGTAGAAAGGATAATCAAGAAAACCCCAATAAATCTGATTTCAGTAAATCTTGAGTAAAAACAAGTATTTCCTTTCTTAAATAGATTTACAGAAAGATAACAGCTGTTGCTCTAGAAGATACTCAACTTCTATTCAGAATTCTGAAACAGCTACTATGAAATTTCTATTCAAGTGTTACTCATCTGCCTTCCAGTTCATTCTCTATTCTCTGGCTGGCTAATTTTTCTATGCTTAAAATCTTTTTATGGACTCCACTGCCCTGAAAATAAGCTGAAATGCCCTAGTACATGCAAAAAAGGTGTGTACACACTCATTTCTCACCCCTCGCAGGACTATGCTTGTAGTTCCTTCAGTATCATCTTCTTGTTCAACTCTGGACTTTTTCTTCCTTTTCTGCGACTTTGTTTCTCCTGATTAATATCAACTCCTCGCCTCCAAAAAGCCCTCTCTGATCCATCAAGGCTGGGCTGAGTGCCCTAACATGGTCTCTTATGTTCGCTCTATCTTAACACACATGTACTGTTATGTAACCACCCGTGACAAAGCTGTTAGTTCCTGTTAAAAAGACTCAATGACTGTACCTTATATCACTGAATGAATAAATGAATATTAATTGCTGATTTGCAAAAATGAAGCAAGAATTCCTATAACTTAAAGTACCTCATTTTTTAGGCCGGGGTTTGTTTATAGGAAGACTTTAGAAGAAAGGTCCTTTTTCAGATCAGGTCTCAGAGGTCTTTAATACCTGAAAACAGCAAGGTTATAGGTACCTTAGAGTTAGAAGGTAACTGACAATGTGCCTGGGTTGAAGGTCCTGAGATGATCTATAAAGCACTTCATCGAACCTAAAAGAAACATGACAGCAGCAGTTGGCAGAGGAAGACTGTGCACGTATTACACTAAGCTGTTAAGATCTTGGATGTAAGGCTGACTTGAAATCATTAAGAGTAGAAGGTATATATGAAAAAGGACCTTGGGTGCATTTGAAGGTAAAGGCGCAGTTTTCTTTCTTACGAATTCCTTGATGGCAGGTACTTTCTAAATCATCTTGATATCCCTTAGGCCTAGCCCAGAACAAGGACTCAAATCATGGCTGTTAAACTGAATGTAAAAAGCCTCCAGCCATGTTTAGGAACATAATCTAGGAACTAACAAACAGAGTCTACCCTCAATGCCAAGGAAACCAGGTTGGCTTATTTTTCCTACCAGATTAGCCAAATGTGAGAAAACTGACTCCTGATCCCAGGAAAGAGTCATTGACCACTGTGTGGCAATTAGAGAAAACTGCCTTGTTAACTACCCACATCCCTTTCCAGAGACTAGTATCTCCTGACAAGTCTGGCTTTACCAACAAAGCTTGAAAGAGCTCAAAGGTATGGTCTCTTGCCCAGTGTAGGGGCATCAAGTAGATATTCATCTGAGACTGTGAATTAAAACCATGTAGCAAATGAAGGATTATGGTCTCATGGAAGCTGTACAAAGGCAGAGATTCCCCGTCACTTATTGAAGAGGGTGAGGAGAAGATGAGCTTTTCCAAAACTAAAAATTTATGCTTTACTAGGCTTTCTATTCTCATACCATGACCCAGAAGATGTTAGGCACCTGTGCTGATTCAGCAGTGATAATATTTTTAAGTCCCAAGGATTGACCTTGACTATGTCCTCTGTCTGCCCTCAAAGGGCAGATAAATTGCTTTTTGGTCATACCTCCAGGAAAAGCGCTTGCTGTCTGGTGGCAGGGGGACGGGGTAAGAGCTAGTTACTGGCTTATTCACTCCAGTGGTCAGCAAACCCCCAACAGTCATTTCACTAGGCAGATGAAGACTAGATAAATACTAGAAAACCCATACCTGAGAAGATGCTGAAGAATGGAAACAGACTGTGGTTCTTGTAAACAAGCAGTGTTGAAATCATTTAGATAACCACATCCAAAAGTCTCTTCCAAACTGTTATCAAAAGTTTAAAAACAACGGATTAAACAAGTCATCCAAGGACACCTAATTGAAGTTTATCATGATGCTTTAATCTTTCCTAAATCTGTTACTTCCCTCGGAAAAAGGGAGTATAGTCTTTGGCAGGGTTATTCTGAGTACAGAATAAGGTAACATACAAAAGCACTTCTTTATAGGTGCTCAATAAATATTTTAAACCCCCCCCCCCAAAAAAAAACCAAACCTAACAGGTGGTCCACTGTACTTCTAACTAGTTTTTAACAGATGTCTGAGAAGCCCAGCAAATATGACTTTGATCTTAGGAGCACATCAACCAAGCCTCACCCTGGGAAGGACAGAGCGGCTCATGCATCCCTGCAGACTCCCCTCACCTGTGGAGGCGAGCATGCGTGTACTGCAGGAAGACGCCTGTGTCCCCACGACTCTGGAAAATACGATCCCAGCTGAACTGATAGTCAGACAAGAGCACACCTTTGAAGTCCTAAAATGACAAGAGTAAACCTTTAGTGCTGGGATTTGTTCTGGTACCAAACAAAAGGGTCTCACAGGATGCAGTCTTATCAGACCTGAATAATGAGTGCTGCAAGCCCGACCCTCTCTGCAGTCTCCTGTGGGTTCTCCACTTCTTTGGTAGCTGAAACAGACAAAGGCAGCTATCTTTAACCTACATGAAACCATTCAGAATCAGGGATTGAAGGAGATAAAATCTGCCAAAAACATACGCTGCCAGCAAGAACAAACAGGTTCAGAGTGGGCAGTTTACTTCCCTAATTTGGGCTAATTGACCTTGGATAAAGATGTTCCCCTGCCTACATTAAAGGGAAAGAAACATGAATTCGTTTTTCTCATGAATATCCCTTGTGAGACATTAGACAAAGCTGGTACTTACTTTTCCAAGGCTAAACAAAGCCACCAGGACTTGTGACCTGTTTCCTATTACATACATAGGAATTTCACATAAGCACTCCAACAGTGGAATGACAATGCTGAAGCTGTCCATGAAAGAGGCCTAGTGTTGTATCAGTGCAGATTACTGAACTGAATGACACCAAGCAGCAAGTCTAAAACCTCTGGCACCTCTAATTAGTGCAAGCTATTTTTGACAAGGTTAATGAAAATTAAGAGAGGGACAGTCATAACAAATCACACTGCACAGAAGTCCGAAGAACATAAAAGTGGCATGTAAGTTGTGACTGTAACAATAAAGTGAATTCACTCTTAATAGAAGCCATGTTCTGTAGCATCCTTGATCGAATCTCATTTAGAACATCTTCCAGAAAGGTAACCTCTCCTCTTCGAGTCTTCATTCCCTGCACCACTCCAAAGGGCACGTGCTGGCACCTGAAATGAAGGAGAAAAGAACTGATGATCAAAGTGTGTAACAATACCCTTTCAGAGAGTAGTCTGAACTTTAACTCTCACAGAGGGGCTTTTCAAAATTAACAAATTAAAATGTGATGTGATTTGTTATATGCCACAAAAGATGTTAAACACACAGCTTCATTGTACAGATAATCACTAGCATGTGATTAAATTACTAGTTGCCTTTGTGAAATAAAAGGAGGGATTACGAATTTTGGACATCAAGCCACTGAGAACAGATGTCTACTAAAGACACATATATTAAATGTTTGTAAGTTAGAAATAAGGACATTAAATTAATGTAAAAAACAAATCTGCTTTGCAAATATGTTGCAACAAAGAAATGAAGTTTGAATAACAATTTTCAACAACCTGGTATATTTTGGGACTTGGCTGACCTAACAAACCTTTAATGATCCTAAGCAGGCAGTTAAGAACTGTGCTGACATTACCTTTCTGCCCAGTCATATCCCATGATCTGCAGCATTTGGAACACTTGCTGAAAATGCTTTTTTTGCCCTTTATCTGTCTTGGGGGAAAAAAAAGTATTTAAAACAACAGTGATAAGTTAACCTACAAAAACAGGTTAGACATAAATCAAAATATTTGAGTTTTGACAGACCAGAGTCATTGTCAATTGATGTATTTTAAATAAGCACACAGAGAGGATGCCAGTAGAAGAACGTCTAAGCTGAGTGTTCTACAAGATAATAAGAGCTGTAGCACTCCACAAGTCAGGAGGAAATACGAACTTTAATCTCTTGAATATTCTATTTAAATTCCTTCTCTTTCAGCTATCATAACCTTTATCTCCAAGAAGGACAAAGCTAAGTTCTAATAAGGTATATAATGGCAACTTTTTTTTCTTAGGGGAAAGGGAGGTTGCACATGGAGAGGAAGGAAAGGGAAGAAAAGACCAGAATAACCCTCAGCAATAAGAGGAACAAACTATTGGATGCACACAACAGCTTGGGTGGATCTCAAGGGCATTCATTATTGCTGAGTGAAAAAAGCCAATCTCAAAAGGTTACCTACTGTGATTCCACTTATGTAACCTTTTCAAAGTGACAAAACTGTAGTGATAGAGAACAGAGCAATGATTGCCAAGGGTTAGGGTTAGGGGGAAGGGGGGGTTATTAAGTGGTTCCCAAGATGGAGTTTGCTTCATGATGGAACAGTTCTTTATTCTGAATGTTGTGATGGTTATGTGATCTCTCCCCTCCCCCCAATATATTTAGGCCCACACGCAAGTACATGTTTTAACTAAGGTCTTTACCATGTCAGTGTCCTGGTATAGATAAAATACCATGGTTATATTAAGATATTTTCTTTGGGGAAGGCTGGGTGAAGGGTCCATGGAAATTGTACTATTTTAAAACTTGTCTTAAATTATTAAAATAGTTATTTTTATTTTATTTATTTAAAAAAAATTTTTTTTTTTGGTAACGTTTTAATTATTTTTGAGACAGAGAGAGACAGAGCATGAACAGGGGAGGGGCAGGGAGAGAGGGAGACACAGAACACGAAACAGGCTCCAGGCTCTGAGCTGTCAGCACAGAGCCCGACGCGGGGCTTGAACTCACGCACCGTGAGATCATGACCTGAGCCGAAGTCGGACACTTAACCAACCAAGCCACCCAGGCACCCCTAAAATAGTTATTTTTTAAAAAGTACATTATGGTAACCTGCACATACTCATTTCACATAACTATTTTCCTGAATTGGGTATATTTTTTTTTTTTTTTTTTACGATGATCTCGCAGTTCGTGAGTTGGAGCCCCACATCGGGCTCTGTGCTGACAGCTCAGAGCCTGGAGCCTGCTTCAGATTCTGTGTCCCCCTCTCTCTCTGCCCCACCCCTGCTTGTGCTCTGTCTCTGTCTCTTAAACATGAATAAACATAAAAAAATTTTTTTTAAATAAACCTAACATTGAATTTCTTCTATATTTTGACAAGATTATTTTTCCATAGTTTTTCAACATGGCAATTAACTTCTTTCTTTGCAGTTTTCATGAGGTAAAGATCATAATCTTTTGTTCTTTATTGTGATTACTTACCACATAAATCATTGTATCAAAATTATACTTCTCCATTCGATCTATAGCAGCTGCAAGATCTCTGAAAAATATGGCCATAAATTAAGAGTTACTAGGCAGATCTGGGTAAAAATTTGCTTTACATATTTAATAGTAATGAGGTTTTTCTAATTAAGAACTCCTATTACTCCACAGTCTAGGGTATACTGCTTATGATTATATAATCCCAGTACCATACTTTCGTATAAAGTAATAACAAAAATAGCTTTGGGAAAAGCAACAATAATAAAAGTACAGTGGAAAGATTAAAAAAAAAAAAAAACAACAAAATAAGTAAATATAAGCTCTGGGAAAAGCAGTAGTACTAAAGCAGCTCCAGGCAAAGTGTCTGTAGGTAAATGTTTTATGATTTGTTCATCAAGCCTGTACTGGGAACAATCACCTGAGTGTCACTTTTCGGCAGTATACCTTCTTAAAGAACATATTTAAAACACAGGTGATGTGGTAACTTAACAGATATCTTTTAGCTACTCTCCTATTACAAGGACTTTCAAAAGTTTTGAATCAGTGATAAGCAATACCTTCTAAAACACTGCACAAGACCAGAAAGTCCTTTGACAAAAACTCAACTCTCCTTTCTCTAAGTATAAAAAACTCAGTTTGCATCTAGTATGAAATAATGAAAACCAAACCATTAACAGTGAAATTTCAAGTCAAAATTATGAAAATATTGAAATTGAAAATCAAAGCTATTTTTGGTTAACAATATATGACACTGGGAAGATTTTAAAAGGTCCTAGATCTTTTGAAATGATGGAAAGCATCAAAACATCATTAGTGCCCATCTCCTAATCCTAATAGAACATAGAGCATGCATTCACAATGGAGGCAAAAACTGGCTCCTGAGGGACAACAGAATCTTATTCTTTTTATGTATAAAGCACATATGTGCACACAACACATACAGATGCACAGGAGATCTGTGATATCAAACATTTCCTGAGGTGGGCAAGCAGGAAAAACAGGCTAAAAAGGCTCCTGAGAGGGATTATAATGGAAAAACAAAAACAAAAAAACAAAGGTGGTGAAACACGAGTATAGAAGATTATCCCCCAGATGAAGTCACAAATATATACCCCCACTATATTTTTGGTTTGACACAAGGACAAAACAAAGAGAAGCCTTTTGATCCAATGAAATAATAAAAGAGAAGAATATAAAGAAAAGCTCTAGGCTGAGTTTGTGAAACCTGAATTTGAAAGCAGGAAGAATGCCAGATCATTTAGTTCGGGCCTCTCATTTCAAAGTAGGGACCCAGCCCAAAGAGGGTCCCCAGCCTCACCCTGTGCTCTTGCCAGTATTCTCCCGCACTTCTGTCTGTTATAACTATTCTTCTAATTCACATCCACATGTATTGATGTATTCTATAAGAACCCACTGAAAGGGCAGAAACAAAGTTCGAGCAAGGTGAAACACTAAACATTTTGGCAAATGGCAAAAAACACAATTATTGTCTCAAAGAGAAACATATAGGTATTAAGGTAAATATACAGAAAAATCTAGACCTAATGAATGACAGCCCAAGAAAAATAACCAAATCAGGACCACTAAAATGACATGGAACCTCTATTCTGGGCGGACACTTTTTTAAAAAAATGTTTTATCTATTTTTGAGAGAGAGACAGAGTGCAAATGAGGGAGGGGCAGAGAGAAAGGGAGTCATAGAATCTGAAGCAGGCTCCCGGTCCTGAGCAGTCAGCACAGAGCCTGACACGGGGCTCAAACCCACGAACCGTAAGATCATAACCTGAGCTGAAGTTGGACGCTTAACCGACTGAGCCACCCAGGCGCCCCTGCTCAAGGTTTCTTTATTTAATCTGTCCAGCAATTATTGGCCGACACAAAATATTTTTTCTATTATTGTTTTTAATCTAGAAAAAGAAATGTACCTCTTAGATACACAGGTTCTTCTCACCTCCTAACTATAATTACATGGAAATGATAAAGGGAAATGCCAAAAAGTAATAGAAAGTAAAGAGATCAATTTTCTAATGGAGAGTAAGAGAATCAGATGGTTGTTTACAGCTGTTTGGAACAAATGATGGTAGTTAACAACAACAATAAATATCAATACTTTAATTATACTATAAAAGTGGGTTTATGATCCAATATAAAACTCTAGCCTGGAAGACACTAGAGCCTTTTGCCAAAAGTGTTTCAGTATGGCCATGTTTGCTTGTGTGTCTTTTTTATGGTCCTATCTTCTCCTTCCTATTGGCTTTGTCCCAGATATAAATGTGCTTGATAAGATGTAAGTTCCAGTTCTTAGGAGTCAGTCATGCAGAGAGTTGGAAGGGGAAAAAAAAAAAAAAAAGGCAACATGGCCTACTTCTCCCTTACTCTGTTTTACATGAGGACTGCTACTCATGTGCATGGTAGATGAATCTTTACAGAGGATGCCACTGAGCCAATATGACCACCTTCTAGTATATACTTCCTATCAATGTACAACAGGAAAATATTTATAGTTGAGGTACCTCAGTTTTCAGTTTGTAGAACAATGTATTTATTGGCTGTGGAAATCCTATGATGTTTAACTAACTGTAAATAATCTTTTTCAGTCACTTTTCTGATGATGTTATACCTTTCCAGGAACCATAACCGGCCAGAGATAGACGCCCAGTAAATACATCTTGAAGTGATGAGAACAAGAGATTTAGAAACTAGGATTTGGTAACAGCTTTGAGGATAAAATGACTGTTTTAGCACTGATCCTACAACAAAGCACATGAAGTCACATACATTCTGATGCTGACCCCCCCGTTACATACAAACCTGGTTGCGTAGAGAGAAGTCCCATCGCTTCGCATTACAGTACAAATTGAGGAGGGGTCACCATTTCCAGAAAGATCCACTATAGCTGTTCCTTTTCTAGAAATGCAAACAGGTAACTCTTAAGAAATAGAGTAAGACCCTTTAAAAGTATAATATCTATAACATTATCTTTGGCAAACTGGAAGCTATTTTTTATTCCTTACGTAGCAATAAGCAGTATAACCAAATGAAGAAAAACAAGGAATGGGACCATGAATTTATTAAGAATGGGTATGCTATAATTAATATTTAGTTGTCCTATCTTTTTAAACTCTGTAGCTCTGGATAAGGTACTTAGAAAGTCTTTAGCATATCCAGTTGAAAAATGAGATTTCAGCTGTTTAACTGTGAAACATCATATTCTTCTAATTCAAATTATAGCATTTAATATTGGGCTAATTTTTAAGATGCCAGAAAATACCCTTGAATAATAAACCATGGAATTTTGTTACGGTCTTTCCTGCCTTGTCAAAAATTAGAATCTGTAGATGGAGATGCAAAAATCTGCCTTATGCACATTACTGGTGTTCTCCATGTCTTCCTCGTAAAGATGACAAGAGAAGCTCTTTGGTACTATGACAACTGGTGCTTCTAAGCAACTGGTTTGCTTCTGTATTACAGATGCCTGGGCTCCTATGACTGGTACTGTTTGTCTGGCTGACAGGAAGCTCAAAGCTAAATTAGAAATCTACCGTAAGTAAGGCAGTGTGTTAGATGATATACCATTATCATCCCTGATTCTGTATTATTTTTTTCTGCCCTCGCTTCCTGATTTCATTTTACTCTTTCAAAAGCTTGTATTATACCTATTTACATAATATGCCTTAAATCCATTTTGAACAGGATGTGGTTTTTTAAAAAGGCAGGGCTAAGTAAGATGTAAGTTTTATTTCCTTTTTCCAGTTACATCAACTTGTCTGACATTAGGCCAGTCATTTGTACTTTCCGTGCTTCAGTTTCTTCACACGTAAAAAGCAGATTAACAACTTTTCTTCCAACCTGACCAGGATTTTGTCATGGCAGCAAGAAGACCTTATGTGGAAAAGTACTTTGAACAGCAAAAAGCACTACAAAAAAAATGCCAGGAAGGTTGCACACCACATTCTGTTGTTCTTACTGAGAGACTATATCATTTTTTCCCAAAGAAATAACTTTACTAAAGAACAGTAACCTGACCATACATTGTTTTCTGCAGGAGTCCTTTACTGTCCAGCAATTTTAAGACTTCTTGAGATTTTTCACGATAAAATGATTCTCCTGAATATTCATCAAAGTGTACTCCTAGACGCTAAAAGGATTCAGAAACAAAAGAAAGGAAGTTAGTTAAATGTCCTATTATCTTATCCTAAGACAAAACAGGATGCTCTACAGTCTGTCACCCAGATTGGGAAAGTAAGAATTAGATGAAGTCACTCCTCTGCTCTACCAAACCTTCTACCTCTTCCCACACCAGGCAAGTCCTCACAATAGTACTGTGCTGATATGGTAGTTACTGGGCCCACACGGCTATTCAAATTACATAAAATAAAAAACTTGACTTTCTCAGGAACACTCCTTATGCTTCAAGTGCTGGATAGCCACCGGTGGCTAATGGCTATGCTGCTGGGCAGCACATCATGGAACATCTCCATCACAGCAAGAAGCAAGGTTGGGCAGCTCTGGACAATGTCCTACCTCATGCCCCATCCTACAACCTCTTCCACCTCCTCTCCTGCAGCTCTTCATCCTGCTTCCCTACTCCAGCCACATGGGTTTCTTTAATGAAACTCTCTTCATTCCACGTACTCGCAGACTCCGTCTCCCCTCCCCTGCTTCATTGTTCTCCACAGCATCATCACCACCTAACAGACTGTGTATGTCCTTGTTTAATCCCCGTTGTCTTTAATTTGCTCTCCATCTCCATGCTGGCATGTGAAGTCCAGACAGAAGTACTTCTATTTCCTTTACTCACTGTTGTATTTCTCCCACCCCCTAAAATGCTTATTAAATGAACAAATTTATATGCATCACACACAGGCCTACAGAAATGAAAGAGGAAAAAAAACAATTAAGATAAAATGAAGGAATGAACAGAAGACAGAAAAGAGAAGCCAGACTGACACAGAGTACTAGAGTGCCACCTGATATTTGGTTTGTGAATTTCACAGGATTGTTTCAAAGCTCCAACTTTCAGCATAAATAATAATATGTGGGTCCTAATTTTCAATGGAATGACAAATCTAGTCTTAAAACATGAGCTGAGGAAGCAACTTCATTCCTCAGTAGTCCCAGTCAAGAGCACCCCATCACAGGAGAGTAGGTGGGCACCTTGTAAATCCGCACATATTCTTCTATGCTCAGGTCTCGAAATTTCTGCCACAGTTCAAGTGCTTGCGTGTCACCCAGTTCTAATCGCTGAAAGAACTCATGCGCTGATTTTGCTACATTTTTATTATCTGCTGCTTCTTTATTAACTTGTACATAAACCTAAAAGTATAACAGTATATTAAATGAAGTACATTAGTCACTGTTACCTTCAAAGGAACAAAACACAATCCCGAGAACTTTCATTTACATGTTAGCCAACTGCCCTCATGAGAGTGTAATCTTTTTTTTCTTTTTTTTCTTTTTTTTTTTTTTTGCCATGGGCCCTTAGTGCACCCTATAAATCCCTTCTCAAAATGTTTCTAAATGCATAAAGTAAAACACATATGCTCATAAAGGAAATAATTACATTGAAAGTTATCCAATCATTTTTTTAGGTTGTGATGTAGTAATGGAAGAAAATACTAAATTTCTGATAGAGGTTAGGGAAAATAAAATGTGTAATTTTCCCCTCCCTTCCAAGTTCACAGACTCTTGGGTTAAGAGTGCCTGGTTAGGGGGCGCCTGGGTGGCTCAGTTGGCTGAGTGTCCAACTTCGGCTCAGGTCATGATCTCCCAAGTTTGTGAGTTTGAGCCCCACTTCAGGCTCTGTGCTGATAGCTCGGGGCCTGGAGCCTTCTTCAGATTGTGTGTCTCCCTCTCTCCCTGCCCCTTCCCTGCTCATACTGACTCTCTCTCAAAAATAAACAAACATTATAAAATTAAAAAAAAAAAAAAAAAAAAAAAAAAAAAAAAAAAAAAAAAAAAAAAAAAAAAAAAAAAAAAAAAAAAGAGTGCCTGGGTTGGATTAAGCTAGCATTCCCTCTTTTTTTTTAATAAAAGGGCAAATTATTATGGCCGCAACTTTTCTGAGAAAAGGTCAAAGGAGGTAGAATGGTTCAATCTGGCTAAGAAAAAGCCAAAGGATGATTCAGCAGTTGTTTTAAGAAAGACTTTTAAAATAGTTCTCTAAACCTGCAAAAGACCCATAACATAGCTTATCTAGGAAGACCTCTGGACAGTTAGTTTACTTACACTCGAACCTGGGCTCCTGAGAACTGTGTGGACCACTCACTTCTGGAATGTTTTTGCACCACCTGTCCTGGCTGGTTTACTTCTGCCCCCACCCAATGACAGGAGTGGAATTGGATGGCTTATTGGATGGCCTCCCATTTCTATGATCCTGTGATCACAGTTTAATAATTTTCTGGTCTCCAAAATGCAAGGTTAATAAATGACAATAAAAATATCAACTCTGCACCTCAAGTAGTACTGAAGTTACCCATATAGAATATAAAGATTTTACTTCTAAGTTGTAACTCACTTCCAGGATGAAACATGGATGATACATTTACTCTCCTCGTATTTCTTTCAGAAACCTATTAAAGTAGCATAAAGTAGTAAAAATTGGCAAATTACCGAAGAAATAGGAGGCATCTGTTACAGTAATATCATCAAAATATCAGTGGCAGATAAAGTGGTTTTATTGCTGGAGTACACACTGGGACAACTGGAATGTGGCTTAGACCCACTAGATCTACCAACAAAAGGGACAGGGCATTAAACATCTATCAAGGTAAAAACGTCTCATCTTTCATAGATGGCTTCTGTTAACTACTGGAATGGCAGAATGTAATGAATAAATATTCCAAAGAGAGGTTAAAACTACCTAATTTCTTTTTCCTTTTTAATGCACATTGCACAGAAAAGAATTAATAGAGCAGGCCTGAGGTGCTATCCTTAAAATGTCCGGTTTGCAAGCTTACCCCTTGGCTGGCATCTGGGAACTTGGCTGGCCATGTGGGTACTTCAGATTTGGGAAATGTTCCCACCAGCCTAACTGATAAGAGTAGCTCACTGTGCTTAAACTATGAAAACAATATGGTTTATGCTAACTACTTGCTTTCCTTCTGGGAGTTTGGCATTTTAGTACATGCTAAGCAGAGGGTGCCTACATGATCAAACTCCAATAGAAACTTTGGGCATGGAGCATCTAATAAGCTTCCCTGGTAGACAACATTTCAAGTATGTTGTCCCAGTTTGTTGCAGGAGGAACTAAGTGTATCCTGTGTGACTCCACCAGGAAAAGACTCTTGGAAGCGTAGCCCTGGTTTCTAACAGACTTCACTGCATATTCCTTTCCCTTTGATTTTGTTTTGCAACCTTTTGCTATAGTAAATCATAGCTGTTAGCACAATTATACATGGAGTCCTGTGAGTCCTTCTAATGTGTTATTAAATCTGGCGGTGGTCTTGGGGAGAATGAACACACATACCATAAAATATTAATTTCCATGTGCTCCTATGAAATAAGTCCAGAATAAGTCAGAAACAGAAAAAGAAAATTTTGGTAAGGTGTAGGAAAACAGAGAGAGTCACGGTGAGATAGTAAACTGCAGACTTTTTGACGTTTTTTTAAGTGTTTATTTATTTTGAGAGAGAGAGAAAAACAGAGTGTGAGCTGGGGAAGAGCAGAGAGAGTGGGGGACAGAATCCAAAGCAGGCTCCAGGTTCTGAGTTGTCAGCACAGAACCTGACATGGGCCTCAAACCCATGAACTGTGAGATCATGACCTGAGCCAAAGTTGGATGATGCTTAACCAACTAAGCCAGCCAGGTGCCCCAAACTTCTTGACTTTTGAATGACATATCCACGGACAATTAAACTGTTGTCCAGCCTATAGTAACTGAGGCATACATATTTCTATGACTGTGATTGAAAATATCTCTCTCATACACACACACTACATGCACATTCACATGTAATTTATAATCAAACATATACAAAATATTCTTATTTTCAAAAAAAAATTTTTTTTAGATCTAGGACTCTGAACTCAAATAGACAACATTTAAAAAATCTAATATGCATGTGAACTACTGGTAAGAATATTTTTAGAAAAAACTTTACCAGAATCTTTTCCCTTTCTTAAAATTTAAAATAGAAATAATTAAAGCAAAATAAACAAAACCAAACCCTAACACTTGAATAATCTTGGCATTTCAGCAATTTGTAATTATAAACCAAACATTACTGAAAATCAACTGACACTATCAAACAGAACCATAGAAGAGCCTTAATTAGCACTTAATCTGCCTGTAAATGAACACGAAAAAACTGTAATTATTAACATTCATCACCGTTTTAGAAAAGAAATGCATTTTCCTTCACAAAATAACCTTAATACTATGTACTTCTGAAATTACAATTTTTAATTTAGTCACCACAAACTTTTTATGTTTAGAAAGTATGCATTTTGAAGACAGCCTCCTTTTGAGGTTAGATCTAGACACAAAAGGAATAAAAAGGAAGTTTTAAACTTGGATTTGATAATAAGAATGTGGCTTAGGATGTTCTTGAGAATGGAAATAATTTTTCTTTTAGTTACCAAAATACGAAAGTGAGGTATATTTCCATGAGGAAATAAACTAAACATTTAAGACTTCCTTAAAGGAATATTAACCTTTTCACTATTTCTAGAGGCTAATATTCCCAAAGAAGCACAGGATATTTTATTTCTAATTTAACTGATTCAGATAATTACAGTCAGCTCAAGATGATCTGTCCCAATATAAAGAAATAAGTACGAGAAATAAAGTATATAATGCTCTTTTACTCTCTTAAATTTGATTCTAGAATACCACTGGCAACATAGACACAGTTTAATTCTTTGCTTACAGGGCTCTAACCCCAACCCTGGTTATTTCTGTCTTAAAACAGAGAATAACTACTAAGAACGGTCAGCATAACTTAGACACTAAAGACCCTTTTAACTATACAATTTGTCTTGTATCTTAAAATGCATTTAATTTTGTTCTAATTTTTTTAGAAAAAACATGTAATGAATTCATGATTACAACTCAAACAAAGAAGGTAATTTTTAATGTTGTTTCATGTCTTGATCAGAAATTCCTTACAGAACTGCTGGTTGAGATAGATTTCTTTTGTTTTTTGTTTTTTTTTTTAAGGTTTATTTATTTTTGAGAAGACAGAGCATGAGCAGGCGATGGGCAGAAAGAGAAGGAGACACAGAATCTGAAGCGGGTTCCAGACTTTGAGCGGTCAGCACAGAGCCCAACGCGGGGCTCAAACCCACAAACCATGAGATCATGACCTGAGCCAAAGTCGGATGCTTAACCTACTGAGCCACCCAGGTGCCCTGAGATAGATTTCTAATGTTAAATGTAATATTAAAGAAACTCAAACAATACAATTATAATTTAAAAGATCAATATATCAGTTAATAATAAAATAAAAACTTAGTAATTATCAAGTTTCTCATTAGTATATCATTAGCAGCATATAAATAGCATTTTTTCATCCATTCATCTTCTTTCAGTATTTAGAATCGCCTATTTTTGGTCTTTGTTAATAATAATGTCCATGATATACCTTTATTCAAGGATGATAAAGATTCACTTCTTATATATATTAGACACATGGTGATATACATTTCTCATGCTGAAAAAGTTTTTTGCTCATTTTGATGGGGTGGGAGGGATAATCACTGAGCTATTAATATGTACTCTGGTCTTGCTTAGTATTCCCATCCTTGTTCTAAGAACACTCAGAGGAAAATGAGGCACTGTAGGTAACCCCCAGAAGAGTAGGCATTGGGAAGAAAGGCTAGTGGCTTTGGGGAAGATGGTCAAGAGTATGGTAAAACAGAAAAGCTGCCAGGAGAGAAGAAAGGACAATTGTCTAGATTGAGGAGGGAATGGGGATGGAGAAACATTCCCAGGAATAGCAAAAGCTGGGCAGCCTCTGGGGTGGCAACAGGCCCTCTGAGGGAAATGATTTGTGGTGTCCCCACACAGGGAGGCTGATATCTAGACCTATGGAACTGGGCCACAGCTAGGATCTCCTATGTTTGTCATACAAGCAGAGCTGTGTGCCTCCAGGGCATTTATGTAGGCTGGGATACTGGGCACATCAGTCAAGACCAATGTGGATTAAAGCTAAGAAGAGGCCTCCATGCCCATCCTGAGATGTACATAAGAATGTGGAGGACTTTGTGATTTGGAAGATGAGAAACCCTTAACAATGACTAGAGATGACTCTTACCACTCTCAAAAATATGACTGGGTTCAGATTTAATTAGGCTTACAATTTAAGAGTTATTTCTTCCATGTAAGTATTATAATGAGTAAAATTCACATTAACCATAATAGTCACTTTCTCTGAAAATAGTAATGTGATCTAACCAATAAAGAACTCTTGAATTCAAGTCTTTATAAAGTAAACATTTCTAAGTGCACAAATATGTCATTATGTCTAGAATTGATTTAACTTGAATTACTTTTTTAAGTTGAAGAAATCTTTTTTGGAGACTTTAAAGCCAAAACAAACAAACAAGAAAAAAAACCCAACAATCAAAAAAAGCCCCATGGTCTCTTGAGGAATAGATACTTCTTCCACATTAAAAAAAAAAATGAGAGCAAGTAAATAGTATCATTCGTTAATTTGGTGCTTTGCTCTTGCCCTATATTCTACTTTTTTTTGTTATTAATATAGGGAAACTCAGGGTCAAACCTCTAATATACTATTTCCTACTAATACATTATCCTGTAACTTTCCAGGTCTTTTTTTATTAAATGCTCATCACTGTAATTACCTAAAAGCATTTTAGAAAGGGTAAGGGAAAAATAATGAATACTTTTGGGGCCATTATGAACTTAATATGTTAATATATCATGTTCCCTTTATAAATGCCACTGTTAGGGTACAGGGCTAATGGATACATTATTGTCATAATATTTATGTCTTAGGAGAGGCTGCTCATATTTCAGAGGCATTTCTATGGTAATCAAAATTCATATTAGGGGCACCTGGGTGGCTCAGTCGGTTAGGCGGCCAACTTCGGCTCAGGTCATGATCTCGCAGTTCGTGGGTTTGGGCTCCGTGTCGGGCTCTGTGCCAACAGCTTGGAGCCTGGAGCATGCTTCAGATTCTGTGTCTCCCTCTCTCTCTCTGCCCTTCCCCTGCTCATGCTCTGTCTCTCTCTCTCTCTCTCTCAACATTAAATAAGCATTAAAAAAATTTAAAAATTGATATTAATAAGCAATATGCAATGAGTCAAGTTCTAAAACTTGTAGCCAAAAAAAAAAAAAAAAAAAAAAAAAAAAAAAAAAAAAAAATGCTGGTTATACATTCCTAAAACAGTGTTACATGTTCTCAAGGTCCATTCAAGTAGTTTAAACTAGGAGAAATCCTGAAATTACTTTTAAAAACTATCACTAAAATAGGTAAAAGTAGGGGCGCCTGGGTGGCTGAGTTGGTTAAGCACCTGACTTAGGTGCTTGATTTCAGCTTAGGTCACGATCTCACGGTTGGTGGGTTCAGGCTCAGCATCAGGCTCTGCGCTGGAGCGTGGGGACTGCTTGGGATTCTTTCTCTCTCTCTCTCTCTCTCTCTCTCTCTTGCTCTTTCTGCCCCTCCCCTGCTTGTGCTCTCTCTAAATAAATAAACATTAAGAAACAGATTATAACAGGTAAAAGTAAATGAGACACCCATATACTCATGATTTAGATTTAACACTTTTTACCATAATGAATTACTTTTTGATAGAAGCAGAAAGGCTTTTTTATACATGTCACAAAACTTAATTTAAATGTTTTCTTTGAACCAATAATGTGAATTCTAAATAGCAAATATATTAGTTATTTAACTCATTAGCTAATTTAGGGGGAGGTATGAACTATTACAAAACCAGTTCCCCGTTTCATGACAAATCAGAACAACTAATAAATGGTTTTAAATGATGATCAACAAAAGTCCCATGTCCACACACAACAGCCAGACATCATGGGAAAAGAAGGACTACAGGGACACAGAAAAACAAGTAATGAAGCAAAGCACAAAAATGGGAACGCAAGAGAGAACTGATTGTAAACGATAAATATTTTCATCACAGAAAAGAAATGCTAAAACTATCCTATAATTTCTATACACAAAAACTGAGAAACTGAAACCGGGGGATACTGATCATGACGCCATTCAGCAGGAGGCAGGCCACAAACTGCCACTGGATGGCTGAAGCCAAATTCAAAACAGATATGCTGGAAGGTTGAAACTGAGAAAACTAAACTACTAATTGTGTTCCTGGTACAGCAATTTGAGGATGAAAGAAAGGAAAATGGTATGTAAGTAATTAAACCGATGGAAGTGAATGGCCAGAAGGGCATTCTGTCATGCCAGTGGAGGACAGGGCAGTGCATGAGCACCTGGGAGTCAGACTGCCTGTGCTGGAGCCCTGCATCTGGCCCTTGGGTTTTGCATCAGTAACTGCATGATGAAGTCAATTTTGAGAAATGGTACGAGTGTATCCTATAATAGTCAGCTCTTCCTTGGAACTATATAATAGGTCTGATATTCTCCAACTTAAATGGAAGAAAGGGACCAAAAAAAAAACCCCTACAAGATCAAATTCATACAAAATGTAACTGCAGGCATGGTGCTTGGGGCTGGCGATAAAAGATCGAGAAGACATGGTCCTTCTGAAAGTGGTTACAACTATAATCTGACAAGGAAAAAAACCAGGGGGTCCAGCCAAAGTCCAGGTTTTCTTTTAGGAACAGTATAAAATCATTTATTAATATTTGCCTAAAGCTCAAAAAAAAAAAAAGGAAAAAATTCCTCACTTATGCCCAAAGTTTTTGTTGAAAATAATCTGCAATGATGACTATAATTTTAAAATGAAATTGGGCTAGCAAAAATTAGCCCAAAGATAAAATAACCTGGAGGCTGCCACTTTAGGCTCTGCATTTTTTTTCTGTCCTGCAAAGGAAGAAAGAGCCAGTTAGTACCCTAATGGATTTCTTTTATTACAAACAGCAACGTGGGTGTATTTGACTTGCTCTTTTGTCTATAAATGCTGCTTCCCTACGAAGCTTTTAGGCAAAAGAACACTTAATGAAAGCAACACCACTGTTCCTTGAGTTTTTAGTTATTCACAGAAGTACCTCCTGCCCTTGTTCCTTCTTTATGTGCATCCATCAATCAACAACCTCTAATATAGCTGTATAATCTCCAACTTTTTATGAGTCTCAAAAGCCTGGAAATTTGTGATAAACTGCATAGAAAGAAACATACATTTAAGTTTCTATCAGGTTTGAGAACAGACTTTACTAAAAATATTTAAAATACTATGAATGACAAAGACTTAACTATTTCCAGGGTTAAATAAAACGTTTGAGGTGGGGTGGGAGAAAGAGGAGAATAGTAACTCTCATATGAAGTTGTACTCTACATCCTTAAAAATGTTCTCTCAATGACAGACACAAGGTCTTCAAGCAAGTATTTTTATTTTCTGTGCAATGGGTTGTCTCTGTGGGCCTGAATCTGATGAAAGGTTCACTAAGCCTGTGGTAAAAAAATACTTGCCATTACTCAAAGTTTTAAAAAATAATACAATAAAAATTCTAGGCACTAAGGTGGCATGCTTTATTTACAGACAACCATAAAGAATCATTAATTTTTAAACTCTTGCCTATCAATAAAACTCAATGGAAAACAGAAAAAAATCTTTTGTTTAATATTATAAATAAAAATGTAGGCATTTAAAGTGCAGTGCATGCAGGGACTCAGGAGAAAATTACAAACCATTAAAACTCTTCAAGAATTACAATGTAATTTTTGTTAAATTTAACTACAAAGCTGCAGGAGAAAAATTATTTAACAGAAAGGAAAATTATGAAGCATTCTCAGTGGCTTTTGCTAGGGAAGTAAAGCATTATTTTGGTAAGTGCTCTTTCTTATGCACAGGTATAATAACATCTTTAGTCTGATCCCCAGTACGTCACCAACACGGCTGCTGTCATTGGTGTTTATTCTTGTGAGGCCCAGAAACAGAAGAGAGAACAATTAGGACAATGAAAAGGAAACACATCTCCTGGAGATTAATTGGGCAGGAAGAGCTTTATTAATGAACTCTAAGAAAAACTGAAGACAGTGAATCAAAGTACCCAAGGGACTATATGAAGCAGAATAGGAAGGAGTTCACGCTGGGCAAAAGCCAGGAAAAGGAGCTAAAAGACAGAAATTTAAAAAAAGCACACACAAATTCAGAGAAACACAGGTATCTTCCCCCACGCTAGAATAAGATTAAAAAAGTATATACTCATGTTTTTCGATTCTAAATGAATTATAGTTATTGCCATGAAGAAAGCTGCAGTTATAAAGCAACTGACAAAAAATTAAGAAATTTGCATTGAATCTGTTATCCCATGTGTTTATTCTAAGATGACTCTATACCTAGAAAAATACTGTCCCAAATCAACTAAAACCTAAATAAACACTTGGACAAGAAAATGAAACGAACTCCCTAGTAAAATAAAAGCCACATTGCTATAATTCCTTGTTTTTATGAACATTTTTAAAAACCTCTGGGATTAAAAATTAATCCAAGCTGCAAAGTACTCTGAAAAAAATAAATTGAAGCATTTGCTACTATTGTTTCTTGCCAACTTACTTCAAAGAGGTGCTGTAAAGGACTGGACTGAAGTTTTTCTTCATAGCCAAACAGTTGGAAGCCAGTTCCCAGAAGACCTAGCACAGTAATACATAAATGAAAAAATTATAAAATGGAACAATAGAGAACAGTCATGGCAGGGAACAGGTATAGCTATATCAAAATATCAAGCCCTTGTAATTATGTGTCCTGAGAGCACTACAAACACATGTTATCATCTTCTGCTACCCCATAAACTCAACACACTGAATCACAAATTCAATATGTTGAATAGATCACTGAAATTAACTTCAAAGACACCAATGGACTATGAACTCATCAAAAGCAGGGTCTAGGACTAACTTGTCTTTGTATTAACAGTGCCCACCACCAACGTAGCAGACATTAATAAAACAAGCATTTATTGACTAGCTACCCTGAGGAAGGACATCATGATGCTACATGCTGGATGCTTAAATTCTGTGAAAACAAACTTATGGGAGGTGATTTCAAAACTTTCTTTTTAAACTTGTAGATGTTAAAATAAAACAAAGTTAGAAGTTGGCTTGGTGTTATAATATTAACCCTTAAAAAAATAACTGGAGGAAAACAATAAAAGACAAAACTCAAAACATACCTGGGTATCTCTCCCATTCAAGGTGACCAAGCAACAAATATCTTTTATCTGGCCATATATTTGTCTTTTATTTGTCAATGATTTTTTTTTTTTTTTTGTCTTTGATGATAAATTCTGCATTCAGGGATAGTATTAGTTTGAGCCTTATTTTTTTTTTTTTAATAATAATTGAGGTAATAGACTGTAAGTACTTATATTCTTAAGAAAGACGATCACAATTTCAGTTTAAAAGGATATATGCAAGGGCGCCTGGGTGGCTCAGTAGGTTAAGCATCTGACTTAGGCTCACGTCATGATCTCACGATCTCATGGTCCGTGAGTATGAGCCCTGTGTTGGGCTCTGTGCTGACAGCTCAGAGCCTGAAGCCTGCTTCACATTCTGCGTCTTCCTCTCTCTCTCTGCCCCTCTCCCACTCTCTCAAAAATAAATGAACATTAAAAAAATATAAAGTTCCTCCATGTCTTTAAAATAAAAAAAAAAAAAAGGATATATGCAGACTGGGACCAAGAGCAATAAAAGGTGGTTGAATTATTTTAAAAACCAATCTGTTTCTATAACTCTTATCAATTACTAAGCTTCTGATCTAAAGGAGCTATTGCCAGTGGGCCTTGCTGACATACATTTTTCTATGGAGGCTCACCAGAAAGTGGGATGCTACTGAACTCAAAGATGTAAAATATTTTGGAGTTTTAGACAAGAACTAGAAGGATGACTTAAAAATGTACCAGCCCTATTCACTTTTAACAAAAAGCAAATGTCAGGGTCTTAGGAGCAGGGTGTGGAAAGATGCCCAGACTGTTCTAAAAAGTGGAAATAGGAAAAGTAAAGGCCAATGCCCATTTAATATTCAACCTAATATATTTTCAAAAACTAATTTTGTGGTTAGAAACTATTTGCCAACTTTTAATAGGAGATAGCTGAAACACCCAAAATTAAAACTCTTCAACCATTATGGTTATAATGGAAATGGTGACAGATCATTAACCATCGTAGTCCTTTAGAGAAACATTGCGATAATAAAATCCTGTAGCTAAAATTGAATACCATAATCACCTATTTGCTAATGCCTGTGAAATGCATAAATCGGTTAAACTAATGTAAAGTGGATATCACCTATTAAATCTGATTGTTGAGCCTAGGGCCCAAATCTCTGACTACCAGCTATTGTGAAATGCAGGTGGATTTTTAAAATGCAGGGCATGTTTTCAGATTCCTCCACAGTGAATAGTAATGGTACTATTAATTGGTTCAAGTTCTACTGTTTTTAGAGACTAAATGAGATTTTTATTAATTGAAATGAAAGAGAAGGTCATGATAAATCTGTCTTTTAGAAACTTTGATTTCATTTCACTAGCTATGGACAGAACAGAATAGTATCAGTAAACTTTAGAACTGGTAGTGCACACTACACTTTATGGAAGCTTTAAAATATTATCTAGTGTTTCTTTTGGATTGGTACTGTAAAATACTTCCACAGATTAATTCATCAGTCTTAGTGCTTCTTATGTTTCAAGTCCTATGGACACAAAGATAATTAAGACACAATACATGCCTTCAAGGAACATGTCATCTAGCAGGGGAGAGAAGCACACAAGTAAGAAAAGAGTAAGGCAAGCTTATTTGAGGAGAGCTGGATACTAGGAACTTGGTGATGCGAGATGTAGGCAAGGGCCTGTGTGTCAGAGAATGCCTTAAGAGGTGATACTAAGGCCGGATTTTATATTATATATTATATTATATTATATTATATTATATTATAT